TTATTTTGTTTTGTTTGAGACATCTCACTCTGTCACCCAGGCTGGAGTGCAGTGGCACAATCATAGCTTACTCAATCTCCCAGGCTCAAGCGATCCTCCTGCCTTAGCCTTCTGAGTAGCTGAGACTACAGGCACATACCACCATGCTCGGATAACTTTTTTTTTTTTTTTTTTTTTTTGTAGAAGTTGGGTTGCCCAGGATGGTCTCGAATTCCTGGGCTCAACCAATCCTCCCACCTCAGCTTCCCAAAGTGTTGGGATTATAGGCGTGAGCCACCGTGCCTGGCCAATATCTTGTTAACTAAAGTCCATACTTTATTCAGATTTCCACCGTTTTTATATAATGTCCTTTTTCTGCTCGAAGATCCCATCTAGGATATCGCATTAGACTCCTCTTGGCTGTGACAGCTTCTCATACTTTCCTTGTTTTGGGTGACTGTGACAGTTTGGAGGAGTACTGATCAGGATATTTTGTAGAATATTCATTCATTGTAATTTGACTGATATTTTTCTTGTGACTAGACTGGGTTCGTGTATCTTTTGGGAAAGGACCACAGAGGCGGAGTGCCATTTCCATCACGTCCTAAGAGTATGTACTCTTAAAACAGTGTGTCACTGTCGATGTTGACCTTGACCACCTGGCTGATTGGGTGGTTGTCAGATTTCTTCACTGCAGTGTTTCTTTCTAAATCCCCTTTCCACACTGTATGGATTGGAAGAAGGTGATTGTGTGCAGCCCACACTTAAGAAGCAGAGTATCAGCACCTCTTGAAGAGCAGAGTATCGCCCCTTCCCCCAGGTGCTCTGGGTGGTGGGGCAAGGAGAGCATTGGGACAAATACCTAAAGCATGCAGGGCTTAAAATCTAGATGACAGGTTGATGGGCTCAGCAAACCACCATGTACACCTATGTATACCTCTGTAACAAACCTGCACGTTCTGCACATGTATCCCAGAACTTGAAATACAATAATAATAATTTTAAAAGAGCAGAGTATCTATAGAAAATACTTGGAATTGTTATGTGTGGAAGATTTGTCCTTTCTCTCCCATGAGAGAGGAAGGACATTCTCCAATCACTTATTTATGTCAGTCTGGGCTTATGGATATTTATTGTGTATTTTGGGTTGAAATCAAATTATTAATTATTTTGTTGGTTAACTCTTTTCCTGTTTGCCCCGGGAATACTCGCTGGTGGTGCCTGCAGCTGCAGCGTTTACCTGGAGATAACTTTGCCACGAAATAGCTCACTTGTATTATTATTTTCGGATCCCTCTGGTATATGGAATTCGGAAACAAAAGACATCATTCTATTGATAGCATCCTGTTTTTAGTAGTGGTATTTCCATTTAAAAATATAGTGATTCTCAATCACGGAAAATGTCAAATCCTAGAAAATATAGGATTCCTACACGTGATGTTAATTAACATCATTCTCAAACAGTTGTTGGCGGAAGATTCATTTGATGAATCCGATTTTTCTGAAATAGACGATTTTGATGATTCAGATAATTCTGATGTTAGTTCTGTTTAGAAATAACTCCAAGAACAGTTTTTCTGTTTTATTTTCACATTGAAAACCAGTCAGATTTTCTTCAGCCTCAAAGAGCGTGTTTATTTAAAATTAAATGAGCGCTGGCAGCAAGCTGCACTTTTTTTTCCTAGATGGGAAAAGGATTAAATTGTTCTAACTTTGGCCATTGCCCTTTCAGCACTCCCCTGTGTGCCTTTGGTAGATTCATGCCCCCCTCCTACCACCACCACCACCATCGCCACCTTTATTGTGGGTTAGGTGTTTTGTTTTGTTTTTTAGTACTTTCTTACTTTCTGATACTCCAAGATGCACCAGGCTCATCTTCGATTGATTGATTTGTATATTTATTATTATTATTATTATTATTATTTTGAGACAGTCTCACTCTGTCACTCAGGCTGGCATGTAGTGCCTTGATCTCGACCCACTGCAACTTCTGCTGCCTGGGTTCAAGTGATTCTTCTGCCTCAGCCACTCAAGTAGCTGGGATACAGGCTCCTGCCACTGTGTCCGGCTAACTTTTGTATTTTTAGTACAGGCCAGGCGGGTCTCGAACTCCCGGCTTTGTGATCCACCTGCCTTGGCCTCCCAAGGTGCTGGGATTACAGGCATGAACCATTGTGCCAGGCCTGTCTATTATTTTTAATTGACACATAATCATTATACATATTTATGGGGCACAGTGTGATATTTTGGTACATGCGTAAAATGTGTAATGATCAAATCAGAGTAATTAGCAAATCCATCACCTCAAATACTTATCATTACTTTGTGTTGGGAACATTCAAAGTCATCTCTTCTGGCTATCTGAAAATATACAATAAATTATTTTTTATTATAGTCACACTAGTGCTATGGAAAACTACAACTTAGTCCTATCTAGGGTAATTTTGTGTCCTTTAACCAACTTCTCTCTCCCCCTCCTCTCTCATCCTTATCAGCTTTTAGTAACTACTTTTTAACTCTTCACTTCTATGAGACCAACTTTTTTTTTTCTTAGCTTTCCAGGCTCATCCATTCTGCCCCAGCCCTAGAATCAGCTGTTTCTCCCTGGGAACCTAGTTCATTTTACTGGAGAATAGCACTAGGAACCGAGATCTGGGTGCTAGATGTGTTCAAGTAGATAATATATTATCCCTGGCTTACAGAGAAGAAAGCTGCAGCTTGGAGAGGTTAAATAACTTGCCCAAAGTCACGTGGCCATTTTACTTCTAACTCTGCTCTTTTCACTAGAAAGCATCACCTGTCTGCCTCTCTCTTCCTATCTTTTAATCTCAAACTAAGCAAAATATATTCAGGCTGCAGGAAGAGAGAAGATGCTGTGCCCACACAATTCCTGCTTCTTGTAAACTGTAAAGCATTATAACCATATGACATCTATGTCTATATCCAGATATGCATATATATATAGCCATGTAGCTTTATATTATTCTTTTACAAAAGAGAGAGAGAGAGAGAGAGAGAGAGAGAGAGAGAGAGAGAGTGTGTGTGTGTGTTCCAGATACATATGCCATGTGCAGTGAGCAACTACATCAAATGGGAATTTGTCCAGGTTCCCTTGCTTTCATCCCCAAGTAGGATGATGGCACACACCTAAGTGGAGTCGGGAGTTCCCTGAGCGTCTCTGCCAGGTCTCCAGCAGCCCTGGAGCAAGAGAGCAGGTCAGCACTGCTAACAGCACCAGCGCCTGCCACCCGGCCCCTTCCTCTTCCTGGGCATGCCATCAGCAACCACGACCGAAGTATCAGAGGGAGACTAACTTCTGGAAATTGCCAGGACTTGGCCCTGAATGAAAGAAGATGGGAGACCTGAGAAGTAAGATGCAGACCTGGCCAGAGGAAGTGGGAGAACCACAGGCCTGCAGGTAAGGTTTAAGTCTCTCCTTCCTATACCAACGCTGATGATCATCCAAGGTGGGCTGCCACCTGTGTGCAATTTTGGGGTCCTGGGGCAATCTGCCCCTCATCTCTAGGCCTTCAGGCCAGGCCTGGCCCTCTCCCAGTAGTCAGCTCCCTTCCATACAGTATTTCCCTTTTCTTCTGATGTTTCTGGTGAATAAGGCCTGCAGTCTTTTCAGTAATGCTCAGACCTGGAGCAGCTTTCCGTCCACCCCAGCCTGGCTCTGCCCTTGCCATGTTTTGGGTACTGCAGTGGAAGACCTGAGGGTGGGCAGTGATGGCTCATGCACAGGTGGACACTTGGAGCCGAGGGCCCTGGGCTGCCTGCTGTGAACAATGACTGAGACCAAACATGCCAACAACAAGGAGGGATCCGGTTGGTAGCACTGCAGATGGTTTTGTCCTTTGCGTAGTCCTCAGACTTTCTTACAGTCTCATTGAGGAGAAAGCCCAACAAAAGTGCCAGGAATGCATCAGTCATGGGGGAGATAGACTAATTCTCAAGGAAGTCTTGGCAAGAATGGAACTGCCTTTGCAAAAAATATAACTGAGGAAATCATGACAGTGAAAGAGATCAGACCTAATCAACTCCATCTTGATTCCAACTTTTAACCTGTCCTTGTTCATTCCTGGGTATAGGACGAACTAATATTGGGAAGGAATTTAGCTTATGGTTGGAAACAATATTGATAATAGCCCTTTCCCTAAAAGACCCCCTTCTTGTCTGGGGACCAGTCTGCCTTTGCAGGTCTAACAAACCAGCTGCAGATTAGAAATTATGATTTAGGGGTCATGCAGCCTCTGGATCCAAGAGTCTGAACTTCCCCAAGTTGCTCCTGGGGCTAATATCACTATTGTAAAATCTAAGATCAGTACTTGAGATATTTTGCAGACCCTGCACTGGATGGATCAGCTGACATCACCCAGACAGGTAATCAGGCTCAACCATTTCCGCCATCCCACCCGGAACAGAAACCAGCAAGAAAAACTCACTTTGACCCCTATGATTCCATCTCCAGCCTGACCAATCAGCACTCCCCACTTCCGAGGCTCTACCAGCCAGATTATCTTTAAGAACTCTGATCCCTGAGTGCTGAGGGAGACTGATTTGAGTAATAGTAAAACTCCAGGCCAGGTGCAGTGGCTCATGCCTGTAATCCCAGCATTTTGGGAGAACCTCTGCAACTTTCTGCTTTCTGCTTCCCCTACCGAATGGCTTGAAGACCCTCTTCTGCAAGCCTGAGGTTGGGATGCATTCGCAGAACAGAGATCCTGCAGGAAACACACCTCCACCCACTCCTTGTCCCTTTTCATTCCCTGAGGAAGACTGAGCAGGACATGCATCCTATCTTCCATTAATGCATTCCTTCCACAAACATTTGCCAGCAGCCTGCTAGTGCCAAGTGCTGAGCTAGGTGCCAATGCATCTTCCTTTCCCAGTTACCCAGAAATGAAGCATGCAACTAAAGTTAGTGCTTCCCAGGGCTTCCTGGAATGGCTTGTATGGTGGTCCCTGTCCCTCCCACCCCAACCCCAGCCCCACACTCTGTTCCTCAGCCCTAAATAAATAAATAAAGTTTTTTAATAGTCTCCATTTAATTGGTTTATTTGCTGTTAATAAATTGGCAACACAAGGAAGAGCCCCATGTCCAGGCTCAGGCAGGAGCTGCTGTCCTGTGTCCCAGGGGATGCAGGTAAAGGCCCCTCCACTTCTGTGAGAGCCCCCTGGGATGAACACAGCAGCCAATGAGCAAACAAGCAGAGGAGCTAAAGGAAAATGAGGCAGGAAGGGCAGAGGGGCAGGCTTGGGGGAAGGCAGCATTCTCTGGTAACCCCCACCCCTGCCCAGGGCTCAGAAGCCTTTGCCTGGGTCTAAAGGCCAGGGATAAGGGAGGCTTGGCTCACAGATGAGGGGGGTCACCCATATCTTCCTCCCCATCCTGGGACTGACAGCCAAGTAACCAGGCAGGAGCTCAGACAGAGCTAATGTTAAAAGTCCTCTTACAACTGGGTGGGCCTGGGCCCCACAGTTCTGACGGAAAGGTGGGCATGGTACCCCATCCTCATTATGGGGACTGAGGCTCTCCAATGACCTGGGGCCCTGAGACCCAGGGGAACCAAGGGCTTCTAGGACTTCCCTCCCACCAAGCCTGTTCTCAAAGACCTGGGGCAGGCAGAGAGCAGCAGGGAGGCACGGGAACAGGGCAGGGTGTGTGGCATTGTACCCACGCTCACCCACACTGGCCCAAGCTCACTCCTCAGTGAAATCCCTGTCTATGTCCATGTAGGCTCCTCGATGTAGCTAACAAGGGCAGAGTGTGACTGGCGGTCCGGCTTCAACAGGATGGACACTGTCTCCTTCCAATATAAGAAGCTGATGCAGGAGCTATTCTCGAGGCAGGTGCCGTCCTTGTCCTTGTGCAGGTAGTGCTGCTGCCAGAAGCGCAGCAGGTTGTGGAAGTTGTTGAGCAGGAAGCCGGGGTAGTTCTTGCTGTGCTCCATCCGCTGCAGCAGCCGCAGGTACAAAGGCAGCCGCTCTTTCCGTCGGGCCAACATCAGGATCACTAGGCTGGTGTTGAGGCAGCTGACATTCTCCTGGGTCAGCGTCTGCACATGGATGATATTGATGAGGCGGAAGAGGAAGGACATCTGCGTGGGTACCTGGGCTATGTAGGCGAGCAGGCAGCACTTGGACAGGACCTCGGCAACTTTCATATCCACCTGGTTTTCAAATCGGTCCAGGGACAGAGTGACACAGCACACCAGCATGTTGGAGTCCACCAGGGAACTGTTGATCTGCTTAAGGAACACCTGGAACTTTGCATCGGTGTTGATGTATTTATTGAATCTCTTGAATGCATCAACGTTGACCTTCATCAGCTCCCCCAGGAGGTCAAAGTAACTCTGGAGGACATCCCTTGACTTGCACTCGCTGTCCACAATGCAGTAAAGGATGTGCTCCAGGAGGTCTCGCTTCAGCAGGAACATCTGGTCTGCATAGGAAGTGGTCCCTCGGAGGAAACTCTCCACAGCCCAGCTTGCCAAAACCTGAAAGATGACTCTGCTGGCTCCTTCTTCATGACCTGCAGCAGACGAGTTAATAAGCCCCTCTTCCCAACACACACCAAACTCCTGTCGGTGTTGAGGACAGCTTCTACCTCAGGGAGCATTATTGCTCCGGGGACTCTTCAGGTCTTGGTGTTTGAGCAGTGGTGGAAGAGAGTCCACTGTGGCCAGCATCTGTGAAGTTGGGAATTGCAGAGGCCGAGGCGGGTGGGTCATGAGGTCAAGAGATCGAGACCATCCTGGTCAACATGGTGAAACCCTGTCTCTACTAAAAATACAAAAATTAGCTGGGCATGGTGGTGCACACCTGTAGTCCCAGCTATTCGGGAGGCTGAGGCAGGAGAATTGCTTGAACCCAGGAGGCAGAGGTTGTGGTGAGCCGAGATCACTCCATTGCACTCCAGCCTGGGTAACAAGAGTGAAACTCTGTCTCAAAAAAAAAAAAACTGCGATACAGTTTTCCAAACATTTCCATCAGCATGTGTGGGAGTGCCAGTTGCTCCACATCCTTGCCAACACAAATCCTTTTCAATTTTAGCCATTCGATGCATCAGCAGAGAGCCATCGCGTTTTTAGGACTTCGTTTTTTGAGACAGTGTCTCGCTCTGTCAACCGGTATGAAGTGCAGTGATCATGGCTCACTGTAATCTTGAACTTCAAGGCTCAAGACATCCTCCCATTTCAGCCTCCAGGGCAGCTAGGACTGCAAGCATGTGCCACTGCACCCAGCTAACTTAAGAAAAAATTTTTTTTTTTGTAGAGACGGAGTCTTGATATGTTATCCAGGCTGGTCTTGAACTCCTAGCTTCAAGCAATCCTGTCGCCTTGACCTCCCAAAGTGCTGGGATTACAGGCATGATTCACCACACCTGGCCCATCTTTAGGGCTTTTTTTAAACAGCAGTTTCATTGTTATCCTAACACACGCAAGGTAAACTCAGGAAGAAGGAGGAATGGTATGTCCTTGAGGGTCAGTGGTCATGTTTGTGCCTATGCAGCCTGGCTGTGGGCCTCATGAGGAAGCCCTGGCAGGTAATACTGGGTAATTATATGATAAAGCAAAGGCGATGGGGTCAGACAGACCTCAGTATAGGTTCCAGATCTCCCAAGCCACTAGACCGTGACAAGTCACCTATCCCCTCTGCTTTGGGTTCCCTCCATGTAAAAGGAAGATAATAATGAACCTACCTCGTGGTGTTATTCCAAAGCGTTAGTAACATGCTGCACAGGGGCACTTGGCATACCGGAGGCTGGGTGCCAGTCACAGCTCAGATTCCAGAGCAGGACTCCTGCTCCTGGAGGGTGAGCAAGGGCGATGCAGAGACCCAACCTCTGGACCCTCATTCTAGACCTTTCAATGGGTTTGGGTTAAGATAAGCTTGTTTACCAGCACAGGACTGCATCCTTGGGACTGATTTTCAAACAAAGCTGGTAGAATTTCATGAGGTAAGGGCTGGAGAATTGGAAGTCGACCCAACACCAGCTGTGGCACCAGAAGTTCTGATACAAGTGAGGTTGGGAGTGACCAAAAGAAGTTCCCATTGAAGTTGGGCTGGTGGCAGAGAGCAAAGGGGGACCACCCATGAAGGAGGGCCAGGAATCCTAGTAGGAGACAGCAAGTGGTTTATTTGGGTGGTCTGGTGATGTTGGTTTAGGGAACACCATGCTTTTTGGAGACATGGGAAGGATCTAGATGTCTAACACTAGGAGTTCGGTTAAATAAGTGATTTGTGTGTGGATCATGAAAATGATGCTGAAGGTGGGTGTTTATATATTGGAAAAGATAACCGCCATTTTTTTACACCATTAAGGGATAAATGTGTATACCTTACAATTTGCTTTGTTTCTTAACAAGGGGTGGTCCTTTTTTAGTTAAAACTCAGACACACACACACACACACACACACGGCTGGAAGAATATACTCCACGGCCCCTGTGGCTATCTCTGGATAATAAGATAATATAAATGATTTTCCTTTTTTTTCTTTGTGATTATATATATTTTCTCAATTCTAACATGCATGGATTTTGCAATTAGAATTTGGAGTTGGCATTTCACACTACCGGGTGCATAGACCTGATCATGGCACAGGAGGCAGTTTTTAAAGGAAAAGAAATGCATAATGAAATGGAATTACCTGCCCAAATAATTTCTCTTCATTATTAGAGGTGAATGTGTTTGCCACTGCTAAGCTGTTAAAGATGACACCCACTTCAGACTGTGAAGAACACGAATGAATAACCTGGAAGTGATCCAGGGATCCCTTTTCTTGGGATGGTGTGAGGTTGGCACTCAGTAAGGCTCAAGCAGGACCAGCGTAGACATCAGGGCCTTATATGCCAGCCTGCAAGTGACGTTAAAGTCTGTGGGGTTAGTTGTCCATTTTCTCTTCATGTGAGGATTCTGTGGCTGAAAGGATGGGACCGATTCTCCGACAGCCCCGGAACACAGGAGAGGCCGGGAAGGCTCGCAGAAAAGGATGGGACCGATTCTCCGACAGCCCCGGAACACAGGAGAGGGCGGGAAGGCTCGCAGACAGGCAGAAAGGTAGTGCAGGAACGACTTCCAGCATGCCTTGGTACCCAGAGGCAACTCCAGGGAAATAGCAGAGCTGAAAATCTGGTCAATATGTGCTTGCTTTTGTTTTAAATCAAGGCAAGTGGATTTTTTTTTTTTTTTTGAAATGGAGTCTCACTGTGTTCCAGCCTAGAGCGCAGTGGGGCAATCTCGGCTCACTGTAACCTCCGCCTTCCGGTTCAAGCCATTCTCCTGCCTCATCCTCTCGAGTAGCTGGGATTACAGGCAGGTGCCACCACGCCAGGCTGATTTTTGTGTTTTTAGTAGAGACAGGTTTCACCATATTGGCCAAGATGGTCTCGATCTCTTTACCTCATGATCTGCCTTCCTCTGCCTCCCAAAGTGCTGGGATTACAGGCGTGAGCCACTGTGCCCAGCCGCAAGTGGATTTTGTATGCTTTTTGTACAAGGAGGTTGTTTTTGGTGAAGAAATTAGAACATTTTGATAAGTTGCTGTTTTAGAGCTGAAGAGTCATGGAACCTTTGCACTGAAAGGAACCTGGGACAGCATCTAACCTCAGACACTCCCATTTCACAGATGACTCAACTGAGGCTCAGAGATGTTGAGCGATTTCTTAAAGTCATGGCAGTTGGTGGCAGATCAGGGCTAGAATCCAATTCCATGACTTCAAGTCTGTCATTCTCCTGGCTTCCCCACTGGTAACAGTTAAGAAGTTTAAAATAGAAATTATGTTAGTGAGAAAAGCGACATTCCTAACCCAACTGAAAGTCCACAGGATGGTGGCCCCTAAGTGCTGTTAAGATGGCAACTCAGTGAGACCACCGAGATCCCAGTTTGTTCACCCCTCACTGTGCCGTATTTTCATCCTCAGGCTGGTCCCCCATGTGGCCACAGGTGCATCACTGACTTCCCCTTCGGCCTCCATTTAGGTCACATGCTTACCCCTGGACCAATAACCAGGGAAGACCGAGCTCCGATGCGCTTACCCTGATCGCTTCCACCTCCTGAGCTGAGGCTGGGTCTGCAGGGGAGAAGATACCTGAACGAAACTGGAGTTTCAATAACAACAAACAAAATACAATTTTACTTAAAGTGAGCCAAGGGGACACTGAGTCAGCCATTCATGAAACTGGACATCATTTCAAGGGACGTTGGCTCCGCTATCATGGTGAACGCCAAGGTGAAGAGCAGCCACATGAGATATCAAAGGAAGGCCCCGGGGAAGGGGGGCATGCAAGCGTAGTACAACGGCAGGCAACCCCCCTCCACCGCCTGCCCTCGGGTTTGATCTTGCCAGGGAACAGTTGGTGCTGACGAGATGATGCTGCCGGGAAGCAAATATCCTGTCTGCTCCTTGTTCTGTGCAGTCTGTGTGTCCTAGCTTGCCACCCCAAATCAAGGCATCCCTTAAAGGCCCCTGGGTCCAAGCATCCAGTTGCTCAGTGAACGCCATGCTCTAACTCCATCTTCCACCTTCCATTAAGAAGTCAATAACTCTCATTCAATACAACTCCACGTTCCGCTAACCCCTAAAACGAATTTACATACTGCTCCTTTCACTTCCCATTACATTGTATTAATTTTCCCGTCATTAAACCTTTTTAAACCCAATATTTTCAATATTTCATGATATTCCATTCAGTTAATAATAGATCTAGTCTTACAAAAAGCATTTCTACATATCAAGGCATTTATTTAGACTGCTTCCAAATTTTCCTTTTCATAAACAAGCACTGCCACTGATACTCCTTTATCTAAATTTTGTCCTACAGATCTGACTATATCATTGAGCCGTGTTTCTAGAAGTGTCTTTCTAGTATGAAGTATAGGAACATTTTCACCAATACGTTAAGTTCCTTTCCACATTTTGGAAGAGCATCATTAGAAGGATCCCTGTTACCTGCACTCTTACCAACACTGCAAACCACTGGTCTTTGATCATTGATGCTTTCGTGGGTCCCAAATTCTTTTTTTCCAAAATGCCATTTTAGTGAAAGCTCTTAGAATTGGCTTATGCCTTTTGTTTTGTTATTCCTGGTGATACATGATACTCTCTGAAGGCTCTCCCCTTTGATTTTCCAACACCCTTTCCCTTCTTCCCGCAAGCACACCCTATTTAAGTTGGAGGTGGTAGAAACCCTGGAAGCCTGCACTCGGAAATCAGCCCAACATATTTCTAGGGAGCGAGTTTTCTGAGAACGGCAATTCCAGCCAGCTGAAATATATTGAGCATCCTCCGCCTGAAGAAGGCATACTTATCCAGTTGAGTTGGTGTCTTGGGGCCCACACACCTGGGAGGCAGGTAGGTGCCCACAAGGGGGCTGCAGGTAGGTGCCCACGCGGGGGCTGCAGGAGGCCAGGGCAAGCAGGGCTGCGAGACGCTTAGTGTGATGATGATTACAGAGACCAAGGAACTGAAGGTTAAAAGCGGGAATATGGGCATGAATGAAGCCAGGAAGCTACTTCCCCGAACAATTAGGCTATTGCTGAGAATAATAATAATAATGCAATAATTATGATTTATTGTTTATTATTTGCCAGACATTTTATGTACGTTATTTTGTTTCTTTACTACAGGAACTCCTGGGGATTTAT